AGCATTGTTAAAAAGAATGACTACATCCCAGGGGAATCAGGAAATTAAACTTTATTTATTGGGGTTTGACTTTCCCATAAGTAGACAGAGCCATATCCCATCTGATTACCACGTGAGGGGAGGCACAGCTTGAAAAACAGCACTGCCAGTGTGCCACTGGGCCATTGATTAATTAAGCAATAAGATGAGGAGGTCTGTCATTTAGGGTCATTAATGCTTGTGAAGTGTCAGGTTAGTATTACAGAGCCTGAGCCCCCAGGATTTACATCTGAGCACAGGACTTGATCCTTGTGTTGGTCCTAATTTTAAATTTAATTTCAGAAATAGCATAGTTTGTATTACAAAAATTGTCTCTCCATAGAGTATTGTAAAGTATCATAAAAATATATATATTCAGCAATTAGTTTCTTAAAATAATACACCAACAGGCAACTAAGTCTCTAAAGAAGCTCTAAAAGGTCCATAGCAAATCCACACCCAGGGAAAGGAGTGCTGGTGACAGCAGAAGTCCAGGAGTCAGGACTCCTCCATCTTACAGTCATGGCTCTGCTGCCAACTGAGCCATCACCCTCAGTGCAGCAAGCCACAATTAATTCATCTGCCAAATGAGTACTACCACTTAAACACTTCACAGGGCTGCTGTAAAGAGTAATTCATTGCTCTTAGGTAGTGCTTTATGATCGTCATATCACTATTTCCAGGCATCCCATGGCAAGGAATTAAAAAAAAAATAAAAAAAAAGGATGTTCCCAAGATTCTTCTGATTTTCTGAACTGATTCCAGTAACCTGGAGAAACCACCAATCGCTCCCCCCTCTGTCAGAGCTGCTGCACTTTGTAAGCAATAGTTAAACACTGGACTTGGGAGAAAGGCTTTCCCTGGTTCAGTGGTCTGGGCACTCACCTGGGAGCAGGAATTCCTGAGTTCCAGTCCTGGCTGCAAGATATGTCCATGGGGTCCCCTTCTTGGCTTCTGTTTGACTGACACTTACCTGTGTCAAACTACATTTTTCTCTGAACACCACATTTAAGAAATTATATTTTCTTAATTATTAAAATATTTCACTTCCAGGTGACTATACCAAAGGATAACAAACATGATCCCACAAGAGAGCAAGCTGCTAACATGCTTCCCATGAAAGCAGCTGCCTGCCCAAATCATAAAATGGGTGCTTCATTCATTCACTCATACCCACTGTTGCTAAACATGCAAATTAAGGTCAGTTAGGATTGCTTCCCTGTTGAATAGACTTCCCTTTCATTAGATATTCCGGAAAATGTGTTTTAACATATTTATCTTGTTATTTTATTACTTTGTTGGGACGAGAAATTTGGGATGAGGCAGCTCTATATAGTCCTTTCCCACTGCAGAGTGGAATGAGGCTCTGTCCTTGCCATCTAGTGCTCACTGGATAATGCAGCAACAGCAGGGGAGTGTTAAGGAACAATAATTTAAAATAAAAAAGTTTGCAGACTGTGGTTTAAAGATAGAGGTGCCCAATCCAAAGTTTCTACCTAATTTCAGAAAGTTTATTTCTTGTCAACCAGCATGGCCAGGGTACCAATCTAATCATTTCAATTAGATGCAGGCCTGTACTTTTGGTTCAACATCAGCACCATCACAGTTACACCAATATTTTGTTCATCTAGGGAGAAGTTCAACCAGTGTGAGAACATTTAGAGAAGCTTAATATTATCCACACAAGAACCGTATCACTGTAAATAACTGAGCACCAACTTTGGGTTTAGACAGAGCTCCAACAGAAGTGCCACTGTGTAACTGTGACAGTGGGAAAGGGGAAAGGAAAGGGAAAGAATCATCTCCAGTGCCACATTTGTATCATGTTCCTTCACTCTGACTAAGCTTGAGAGGACATTCTGAGGAACAGCACTTCAGCCACATGGAGTGATTCCATTATGAACACTGTGATTAGATGAGCAGCAGATCACTTGGAAGTCAAACTGCTGCATCCCCAGTGAATTCCCAGCAGCACTCCCCCTTCCCAAGGTTCCCCACAGGCCAGCCAGTTCCAGCTCCTAAGGACCTCTTTAAGCTTCCCAAGACACCAAGTAAACGAAAGACAAAATTTACGTCTTGCCTCCTGTTGTACCAAGCCCCACCTGCAAGGGCACAACATCAACAGTTTGTCTGTCAGGCTCAAAATGACTCCGAAGGACATTTCACAGGTCCCAACATTCCATAACGACACAGCTACAAAGGCTGACATTGAACTCACCAGGAAGCCCCACGGTCCAAGCAACAGCAGCTCTGAGAGAGGTCATGTCCTCTGATCTGGCTATCAGCAGCCAGGGCTGAAAAAGAAAAAAAAAAAAACAAAACACACTTTAAACAAGTGGAGATAACCACGAGCTAAACAAGAGATAACCATGCAGGTACAAGCACAAAGCTGTATCCCAGTGCAGCACCCCTGGGAGGAAGGAACCTTTTCCTGAGATCCAACCTAAACCTGCCCTGACACAACTTCAGGACATGTTGTGGGGTTCAGACGATGAGCAGCAACTTATTAAACCAAAGGAACTTGCAGCCCAGCCCTTAGTTTAACTTTTTAAATCAATTTTGCAATCAATTTTGTTTGAGTTCCATATAACTAATATACTGAAAACACTTTTAAATTAACCCAGAGGAGAATTCTTACAAATGCTGTACAGACAGTCCCTAAATTGATGAAGGCTCAGGAGAGAAAAAAAAAAGGAAGGCAAAGACACTCCAATATTGGAAAGGATTCTAGGATGAAGCCTCCTGTTGTTTCTGTAAAGAGGGTGGGGATTTTTAAAAATAAAATAGTCACAAAAACATCCATCTTTACCAGCAGCACCCAAAGCATAACCCCTCCCTCTCCAGCACAGTATTTGGCTGGGATAAACCACAATAAACCCATTCTGCTGAGCCTACCTACACCCATCTGATTTCAATTAACTCCCAGCCAGGAGCACCTTCCTGCACTTCCAGGAAACCTTTAGGGGAGTTGCCAAACCTCCTCCCCTCACTTCCATCCCCCAAGAGGCAAAAAAAAAAAAAATATCCATGTTCAAAAATGTTTTAACTCGACTCTCTTCTCAGAGACATGATCATCCCAAGATTAAACAAATCGATGGTTTTTATCCAAAGCACACAATGCTATGACTTTTGGAATTTATCTGGGGAATTTATCATTCCTTTCCAAATTCAGTGTATTGTCTCTCCTTTTATTTATCCAACAAACGCTGCCAGGGCATAAGATGTGTGGGAATCACCTGTTTTGTTCAACTCAGCGCAGTGTATTTCAGTTTATATGGACTTCACGATCTCTTTTGTTTCTCCTCTGGGATATTTATTACAATATAGTTGAAACAATGTCTTAATCCACAGTTAAATGTTTTTGTTTACTTTTAAAAATCCATATTTTAATCAAATGTGAAGAAGAAAAAAAAAAAGAGGGGGAAAATAAGAAATCTGGAATGTTTCTATTGGTGTTTTAGGGCATAACTAACTACAGCAATTTACTTCACCACATCCAGTTGTAATGCTAAACCACAGATAAACATTACTAATGGAGCAAGAATGTGCTGCTTGCTTGTGATGGAGGTCCAAGATTGCCCTCTGGAGTTTGCCAAACAGCATGGGGCACTTCATTCACCATGTGATTGGCACACACTCCAGCTCTGAATCAGTTTGGAGATGAAATTGTTGGCTAAAGCTCTGGAAATTCTGACTCTAGAGCTGTCAGGCAGGGCTGTCTTTACTCTGAGAAAAAAAAAATTGTTTTTAACATGTTACTTGGCTTTTGATGTGGTTTTACATTGTTCACTAATGGTTTGGATTTTAATGTATTGTGCAGCACCCCAAGAACTTTAGTAGGGGGAATTCATTAAAAAAAAAAAGAGTTTATTATTTCAACGTGTGATAATAAAATCATGTTTGGGGAAATGCTCTGATCCCGTCTCTTTTGATGGCACACAAAAAGGCCATCAGCCATTGCATGCTTATAACAAAAGATATATCTGTGCCCTGAAAGGCAGAAATGTCATTTCTTAACTTAGGTCATGTTCAAGGCAGCTCTTACAGTGCAGGGAACTCTAAGGGTTGAGGGTTTATTTTTCATTTATCTTGCAAATCAAGGAAATTAGCCCATAAACTTGTGCTTAATTTTTTTTTTTTTTAAGTCAACATTACTTTGCATAGCAACAACCTTATTTGTAGGATATTTTAAGACCTGCAGTTTGGCTTATTATTTTATTGATATTAATGGAACTGATCCAGAAGAGGAAAACACATCATTCGGAGGTCTGACTCTACAGCCTGCCACATCCTAACGTCAGTGAACATTCTAGGAGCAGAGTGATTGGGGGATTGGTTCTGAATTCACTTCCTTAGGGACACGTAACCATAAAATCCTGACCTATTCTTAAATCCAGTCACCTCAGATCTTCATGCAGCCTTTCCCTTCAGCTGGAGCTTTTTCCCCCTTTACTCCCAGGAAGTGGGTTTTGTGTGTGCAAACATCGTCCACAACACTCTCTTCTTCCACTTCTACAGTGCTGTGTTATAACCCAACATGACAGTTGCTTTGCACAGCAATTTAACGTGCAGCTTCTTTTTGTCCCTCCTTTCTCCAGTGGCTGGTGACCTGCCTTCACAGCCACTAAACCTTTCAGCAGGCTTTCTCTCTTCCCTGAGCACACTGAGTTTTGGCTCCCTGCTGTGGTAAACCCTGGAGGATCCAGTTCCACTGTGCTCCTGTGTCAACAGAGGTGCTGTCAGCTGCCTGAGGCACAGCCACGCCACCCATTTGCAAGCCGAAGGGGCTTTTGTAGCAAGATGAGGGTCAATCAGTGTCAAATAACACCAGCACAGTCCCCACCTCTGTTCTCCTAATAGAGAGGTATTTCGAAAAATATGTACAATCTTGATAATGCTCCTCTTCATGAAAATCTTTATAGCAATGTATGTCTTCAGAGGAACATAAGATTGATTCCAGTGACCTCAACTGTACTGCCACATGACCTCTGCAAAAATGTTTATTCTTTCACCATTGATTTGAGTAAAGAATAGTTCAGATTTGGGAAGTCAGTGCTCCAGGGGTGTTTTGACACTTAGGATGATGACTTGTCTGGCTGCAGGTCTTTGTCATTCTCAGGAACAGGTTGCTCAATGCACCAGTTTTTGCTGTGGTGTTTCGGGTACCGCCTGAAAGAGTGGCCCTCAGCGTTTTCATTGTTTTCATCTGTCACGAAGGATGTCTGGTAAATGGTTAAGCCATCCTCACTGCTAGGGATGGATTCATGAGCCCACTCAAAGAAGTTAGTGGAGCTCCCTTGCTGTCTCTCTGGATCCAACTTCTTCAGGCCCATGCCCTGGGAAAAAAAAATGGAGAGAAAAATTCATGCAAACATATGACTTCCAGTCACAGCTTCACAGATGAATCTTGTAACAGTCACTACCCCACTGGGAAGTGAACGAAGCTGTTACCACAGTGATTTCAAGAACTCGGGGCTGATCTTTAGCAAGTTAAAAATAATATTGTCAGACTTGCCTGGGTGAACGTTTCTGGTTGCATATATAATGGGAAATCTGCTGACCTTCAACCTCTTAGTGCTAATAAACCACTTTCACTTTGCATTTCTGTAGCATACCATGTACTCGAGGCTATTTATCTACGCTCAGCTAAATTAATCTTCAGAGTAACCCAAAGAAATAGGTTAATAATTTTAGGTTCAGGCTGCAATGAAGAGAATGAGACAGACCACGGAATCTGAATCTTCAAAGCCGTCCCTTGTGTGTCCAAATACAGAGTGAAAGAGCCTGATTTCCACACTCCACAGCTCTAAGGAAATTTATTTGGAATTATGGTTGATCAGTTATGTCTAAAACTATGGGACACTGCACAAAGTGCACAGAAATGGAGGTTACTCAGTGAAACATGAATTCCAAGAAGTCTGAGAGAGCCAAAAGTCAGACAAACTTTCTCTGTCACAATTCACTGCTTCCTCCTCTACTTATTATCCTGTATGTGAACTGCACCATTTCTCTTGCTGCCTGGAATGACACCAACAATCTAAGAAAAGTGGAAGAGCATGAAACTGTTGCACACACAGAGAACCCCTGAACAATTTCAAGCCTATTCAAAGCTGTGGCTTCTCCAGCATACATTTCAACAGATGTGTTATAGAGACCTGGATTGGGAAAAGAACACACACTGCAGACGTTTTTTTTTTATCTTTCTTTTCTCAAAATTTTTAGCATCTATTACTCTTTTTTTGCAGGAGATGGAAAAGATTCTGTATTTAATCTCTGGCAGGCTAAAAGATATGAGTTTGATTGATTTGTCTCAGTGCTGGGTACTTACAAGATCAAAATACTCTGCTGCATTACATATACTGTGTTTGTTGTCATGGGAAGAAAATGGGAAATTCTTGTTCCCTGCTTTCTGAAAGAAAAGAAATTAGAGAAAAAAACCCATGAATTTTCAGATAGCCTGTTTGGAGTCCACCAGTCTTAGTCCTTACATTCTGAAATTCCAGCTGCCTGTGTTCTAGCACAAAGTCATATTCATATATTAAATATTCAACTGCACATGATTTTTATAAGGGTAATGTGGACCTTCTACTTTTATTTTTTATAAAATCATCAGGAGGGTTTGCTAATGCTTATACACATAATTAATACAAATGTGTGACTTTTCAAATAAGAAATGCTACACTCCGTCTGCAAGCAGCAAAATGCTGGAGATGTCAGGATTGCTCTGTTTGATTTAGTAATAGGCCTAAAGCTAATTAAAATAAACTACAAAAGGGACCTCAAAACTGAATTAGTCTGTGATTTATGAACTGAATGTCATGGACATCGCTTGTTGCAGGGGAAGTGGAGGAGGTATTAATTGCTTAACTAATTTATAATCTCATTCTTTAACATGATGTTCATCCAGTCTCTTCAGAAGGAAAAAAGGCCAACTGCAAAAGAGCTATTTTAAAAATAACTGAACATATTTAAATTTTTTAATGTTTGTTACGTATCATTGCAATGTTCCAACTATGATATTCCCCTCCGAACATAAGAACAAGTTTTAATGTAACACAATCTAAAAGAGGTGTTTCAAGAGGAGGGGAATCTGAATCAGCTCTTAAAAGAAATTGTAACTGGAGGCCTGATCCAGAAGAAAAGTCCCCAAATAGAAAATCTTCCTGCACAGTCATATGTCAGGATATTTGGTCTCATACAGATTCAACCAGACTGTGGTTCAGTGAAGAAGTAAATTCAGCAGATACATTCTAGTATATGTGTTTAAAAATACACATTTTCTAAGTCAGTGAAATGTAAGACTTACTAAAATCTCCTACTGCAATTACATGTCAATCTCAACATTTCAGGAATAGTGTTTATTATTAATGCCTGTGTGCTGAAGGAGAATTGAAAGCCAGGATGGTAAATACTGAATAACATCTCGTGGAAGGATTCCCTGTATTAACTAATGGTTTAAAAAAATCTATTTCAGAATAATTATAGGACTATCATGAAGTAAGAAATAAGGCTTAAACAGTACTATATTTCTGAGAAAATTCATTAACCTCCCAGCCAGGGAGTTCCCTCATACAAAGAGATCAGAGCCATCCAGCCAAACGTGCAGTGAGCTTCCAACTTTTATTTAAATGTCACATAAACAAACTTCCTCAGCTTGTCACTGTAACACCACATTTTAGCTTTTCGTGCCCCTTCGTGCTCTCACCACTGATCTCATTTTAATTCTTGATTTATGGCAGACAGGAGTTCCCCTAATTCTGTTTAAGAGTGAAGGGCTGGTAAAGACAGGACATGAAACACCAGGTGAAGTTACTGTGGTGTTGATAAAAGGTCCCTCCAACCTGGTTCTCCTTTTCAGGCAGTGGCCAAGGCCAGATGTTCCACAGAAAGGCCAGTGTAATATCAACACAGTGAACACTCACGTTACAGTCTAATCTCTTTTTCACTAGCCCCAAGCTTCCCTTTTAAATATTCCTTCCAAGCCCATTTCTGCTCTTCATTACAGCAAAATCTGTGAAATGAACTCAATGTAATTGCTGTGCTTACAGAAAATGAAAATAGAAAATGTTCTCTGCACAAAGTGGGTGGGTAAAGCAAAGCTCAGTGTGGTAATGGAATGAGGACATAAAAACGTGCTTTTGAAACGGCAACATTTTGAATACTTGTGATTTTAAAATACTGTATTTTGTTTGATCCTAAAATTGTCCCAAATCTCCTCATTTTTAAGCAAACCTTAAAAACGTTTTGAATGGGAAGCTTCTACGTTTTTAATGATCAAAAGAATAATCCTTTGCCTCAATACACAGAATTGCTGACATTCAAGAGAAAACAGATCTTCAGATTTCAATTAAACGTTCTCACAGGGCTTTACACACAGGGTTTGGACTGAGATTGATCATAATGTATTCTGTGCCTCAAGAATAAAAAGGAAAAGTGACTGATGCTTGAAATCAGCAATAATACAGCGGGCCTTTGAGTATCCAAAATTACAAGTGAGTAACAGGGAAATATGTTTCTCCCTCAGCCCAGCCAGCAATCACTTTATCCCCCGAGGCACAAAGTCTGCCAGCCCGCTGTGACTGCTCTGCTAACGACCCCAAGCGCTGTTCTTACTCACAACTTAGCAAGTGACAACTTGCAAAAGAGCTCTGGAAATCGACTGTACTGCCACAGGAACTCACCGGGTCCCGAGCTTTGTATTCCAGGGGCAATCTGTGCTTAATGCCCTGAGCTGCTGTTGAGTCCAGGACGTGTCTTAGTGCGGCGCTTGTTGTCGTCTCGAACTCATCCTGGCACTCTCCAACATGAGCAAACTAGAAAATAATGAGTATTATGACCCATTAAAACAAACAAACAAACAAACAGAAAAAAATAAAAAAAACCTTGCCAAAAATAAATCTGATCAGAAATGTGGCCGAAGCAGTATTTTCCCACTGATTTTTTATTATTTGGATTGCAGCAGCACCTAGTGGCCGCTGGAAAACTCAGGAGCCTCGCATACAACACAACACAAACCCTCCCCTAGAGACAAGAATATTAGGAACTTGCATGACAGGAGTATCCAGCGACTTTCTGAAGACTATTTATGCAGCAATAACCATGCAGGAAATCCACCTGACAACCTTTCCTCCCCCGCGCTGCTCTTGCTGCTGCGCGGCCACGGGTTTGAAAGCACAAAACTTTTTGGGAATAGCTCGACCCAACATCAGACCGAGGAGATCAGAGCCTGAGGAACAAGCTTGTGCCAGGTGCGTGTCACGGTGACCTGCGATGCCAAGCTGTCCCAACCCAGAGCTTCCAAAAGGGCCACAGCGTTCTCCTGAGGGGTGAGAACCGAGGGAAAAGCTGGCTGGAGTTCTCCACGAGTGAAAGAAGATCAGCTAGAGCTAAAACATGTAAATTAAGAGACCTCCCGCATTGCTGAAAAGATGGAAAAGAAATCCAGCCGGAGTTTGCTCCAGCACACTCCCTCTGAATACCTAGAGCACTTCTTCCTCGTAAGCATCGGGAACGGGAAAACTAATGGCTGGCTAAAAGATAAAGTCACCCTTAGCACGGCGGGGTTTTGAGGGTGTAAGGATAAAGAAGCCCCACTGGGGGACACGGGGGTAGCTGCCCAGCCCTCACCCAGTCGCCAGGGCGCCGATCCCTGGGATTGCTCCACCTGTCCTGGGACATGGCTCCGTGAGTCCTCCCTGGATATCCTCCCGCGTCCCTGGATCACCGTGTTTCCTAGTTCTCCTCACAGCGGGGGACACGGGTGGAACCTCCCACTGTGACCTCAGACCCTCCCCGGTGTTCCAGCGAGATCCAGGCAAGGAAAAGCCGCGCGGCTCTCGCCCTCCCGCTGCAGGGAGGGGGGAATAAAAGTTGGTAAAGGGATGGAATGTTGTCTTAAAACGCGACAGAAATGGGGTTTTGTTTAAAGACCAATCAGTTCTGCACAAGCACTGCCAGGACGCTTTGCAGCCTGAACGGCAATACTCGAAGAAAGGAGGATTGTTTTTGAGGAAAACCCCAAGGACAATAGGGATGTAATTTTTAGGATGAACTTCATGCTCTTTTTAAAAAATCCTTTACACATACACACATCCTAATGGAACAGACAACCGATATTTACAGAAAACCTGACAGCACCTTAAGGGTGTTTTTTTTTTTGCTTTTGAGTTCGAGCAAACATAGAAACATCCTGACTGTTTAACTGTCAGCACGTTTGGCCAGTGTAACACAAACTAAGACTTTGCCTCCTCATCCTTTCTGGCTTCAAACTGCCAGAGGGCAGGGTTTAGATGGGATATAGGGATGAAATTCTTTTTGTGAGGGTGGTGATGCCCTGGCACAGGTTGCTCAGGGAAGCTGTGGCTGCCCCATCCCTGGAAGTGTCCCAGGCCAGGTTGGACGGGGCTTGGAGCAACCTGGGATAGTGGAAGGTGTCCCTGCTCACGGCAGGGGGTGGAACTGGCTTGGGCTTTCAGGTCCCTTCCAAGCCAAACCATTCTAGGATTTATTTTTATTTTTTTTTTTAAACACACACACACACATATATATACATATATATACACACCAGTCCTCTGCCAGGACACGGCTGGGGCAGCCCAGGGGAGCCGGGAGCCCTTGGGGACACGCAGACGATGCTGAGAGGCAGCACAGAATCCCACCCTCAATTCAGCTGGAAAAGACCTCGGCGACCATCCAGTCCAACCTATGGCCCAACACCACCTTGTCAGCCTGGCTGCCACGCCCAGGACTAAGTCCCTTTAATCCTTCAACACTTGCAGGGATGATGGTGACTCCACCACCTCCCCGATCAGCTCCTGACAAGGCGGTGATCGGTCACAGATTGGACGGGACGTTCCCAAAGATCTTTCCCGACTGAACTCGTCTCGCGCCTCCCTCAGCCCTCACGGGGCCGCCCCCGCCTCCCCTCAGGGCGCCGCCCCGGACCCGCCTTCCTCGCGGCTTCTCGCGCCGTCTCGCGAGAGGCGGCTGTTCCCGGCCGGCCGCCTCCGGGAAGCGCCTCCGCTCCCGGTTCCCCGTTCCCGGTTCCATCCCCGCTCCAGCCCCGGGCGATGGAGGAGCCCTGCGGCGCGGGCGCCGCTGCCCCGCTCCGGGGGGACGCCGAGGAGCCCAAGCAGGTACGGGCGCTAGAGGGGGGCGGGGGCCGTGAGGGAGCGGCGCTGAGGGGGGTTACGAGCCGTGGCTGCAAACACATCCCCTAGTGGTGCTCTAATTTAAGTGGCGCCTTTGATCCTCCTCCCCGGTCCGGAATGCCGCTGTCGGGGCCGGAGTGCGGCAGGCAGCGCGCTAATTATGATTAAGCGCTAATTGCGAGCGGTGTTGGCTGCTGTTGTGCCTGAGTGCATGGCATTTACATAAGTGGTGTCCTGTGGAGCTGCTTTCCCCTTGGCCTGTGTCACTGCAGAGCTCCTCACACGCGTGTGACAGCTGCGTGTTTTGCTGTGTTTGACGAGAAACAGGCAGCCGCGAGGCTTGTTTGTTTGTTATTATTTGAAGTGTTTAGCTTTAGTGTCGGTGTCAGCGTGCACTTGGTGTTAGTCAGCGCTTTCTCAGACTGTTTCGTGGGAGTTACGTTTTAATTTTGGCCTTTCTGAGTGATTTCACGTTCCGTGGGGGCACCTCAGCCCCCGTGACTGTGCCCGGGTGGCCCAGAAGGACAGTGGCACCTGGCTTGGATCAGCCCTGGTGTGTCCAGCAGGACCAGGACAGCGATTCTTCCCCCTGTGCTGGATCTGCTGAGGTCAAACCTCACATCCTGGGGTCAGTTTTGGGCCCCTCATGTCAGGAAGGACAGGGAAGGGAACAGAGCTGGGGAAGGGTCTGGAGCACCAGGAGAAGCTGGGGGGGCTCAGCCTGGAGAAAAGGAGGCTCAGGGGGAACCTTCTGGCTCTGCAACTCCCTGACAGGAGGGGAGAGCAGTGTGGGGGTGGTTGGGCTCTGCTCCCAGGGAACAAGGGACAGGATGAGAGGAAACAGCCTCAAGCTGGGCCAGGGGAGAGTCAGGTTGGACATCAGGAGGAATTTGTTCCTGAAAAGGGTGCTCAGGCATTGGAAGGGGCTGCCAGGGAGATGATGGAGTCCCCATCCCTGGAGGTGTCCAAGGGAGGACTGGATGTGCCACTCAGTGCTCTGGGCAGGGTGACAAGGTGGGGATTGGGCACAAGTTGGACTCGATGACCCTGGAGGTCTTTTCCAACCTCAGTGATTCTGTGATAACTCATGAAGTGGAGCTTGTGTTTGGCACAAGTGTTGGAATCAGGATAACTGAAATACCCATGAGCACATGCAGGTGAAAGAGGTAAGTGAACACAGGACTGTGGTTTGGTCACTTAGCATTAAAAACACCTGCTTACAGAGCAAGCCCGATAGTTTTAATTGCCAACACCTGATAAATAAAAGGCTGATTTCCCTTTGCAAACCAGGGGTCGGTGCTGTTCCTTGGAGGCAATGAAGTGAAGAGCAGTGCAGTGGTGAAATACTCCTCTGCCCCACCACAGGCAGCCTTTGCTCGGCTCCAGGAGAAAACGGACTTGAAGCTTCCCCCGGCCAACTGGTTACGTGAGAGTGCCAAGCTGGGGCCAGCAGGGACCACCATTCTGGGCAACAGCAAGAAAAGTAAACCCTTCTCAAGGTAATTATTTTTTTCCAGGCCTTTATGAAGAATTCTAATAGTGAACTTGGAATGTGTGTCATCTGAAGGGTGAAGTACAGACTTGACTGTAGCAACAAGGTGTTGCTTTGTCTTAACCATTCTCTCTCTGCTTTTTCATCTTGAGTTCTTGCCTTTATGCTCTAATCTTGTCTGCTTTGTAAATGGTTAATGATGCTGGTAATGCTGTTGATGATTATTTTGTTCAAGTGCATGTTGACACCTTGCCTGAGACAGTCAAACAGATTTTGTATTCTTCCCTGGTTGGCCAAAATCAAACTGCATTGGTTCAGTCAGGCAGTCTGCCTGTGGTAACAGGTGAAAATGGAACAAAAATGTTTCCCCTGGGAAGCCAAGAGCCAGTTTGTAGCTCTTCTGGATCTTTACAAACTGGATCTGGCAAGCTAATGGCAAATGGAATTTCCTGGTTATATCAGGAGTGAAAACAGGAGGTGAAACAAGGGGCAAACCCAAAAAGCAGTGTTACTTTTCAGTGTGAATGTTCTTTAAACAGTTGAATGAGTTGAGTTCAGAGTGTTTATAAACAGAAGGCTCAAATCCTGTGCTGAACAGGCAAATTCACATCAAGTCGACCAATCAGTGAAATTAAACAGTTTGTGGAAGGTCTGCGTTTAAATCTTCACAATCTCTTTTAGGAGCTGTACTTTTTTTGAGCAGAATAACGTGCATTTCGAGGATTTATGGGTTTTTTCCTGTTTATTTTAGATATTATGTTTATTTGTCAAGTAGAGGCTGGCAGTTGAATCTCTCTCTAGTGCCAGTATTAAAGAGCTGACAGCACAAGTATAACTTTGGACACTTGCACAGCATGTATTTTGGGGGTTATAGTAATATCTGGTTTAATTTTAAAGAATGATCTGTACATTGAAATATTTGAACTTAAGTAGCTTGTAATTTAGAGAAGCCCTAATGAGGGTGGAGGAAAATACAGGGCTGTGTCTGTTACAACATGCAGGGCAGTTCTGAAAAACTTAAATAAGAGGTGAAATTAAATGACAGTTACTAAAATTAAAGTATTTCACAGGCTTAATGCCTTAGAGAGAAACTCTTTGAAAAACTGTTCTTGTTTTTAGTGTTAAAGAAGCAACTCAGTTTCTCTGATTTCCCACAGCTGTCTTAACAAGCACTTCAGTTTTTCCTTGAATTCAGCAAAACTTCAAGTATTTTAGAATGTCTTGAGATCAGATCTCAGCACTTTCAAAGATATCTTTGAAAAACTTGGAAAGAGTATGAAAATGAAATTTTGTTCATTAGTTTTAAGCCTCATTACACTTGTTCGTGTTTAGCTGGACTATTTTTTTGATGAAAAAACCTTTCAGAGATTTAATAAGACTAAAAACCAGGTCTCTAATGTCATGCTGCAACTGTGTTAACTTGTAATATTTTTTTTAAATAGCTTTGGGATGGCTTATGACTTCATTGACTCAGTGGGAAATGATGTAGATGTGGTGTCTGATTCAGAGGTATGTACAGCTTTTCAAGTTCTGTCATTCAAACTCTTATATTGCATAAACTTTATTTTAAGATACTGTCACGGCTTTCTGGCATCTTTGTGTCCTTTGAAGCAAAGGAAAGATCCTCCCTCAGATTGCTGAACTGCTGCCCTGCCGTGTAAGGGAGTTGTGATCACTGAATAAGAGATGCAGAGAGAAAATCATATTTTTTTTGTGGGTTTCTACAAATAATCTCCAGCTGGTCATTTTTTGTTGATAGCTGGTCATGATTATCAAAAGACAGAACGTGTTTAAATCATGTGTGTAGTTTTCACTGACTACTTGGTCTCTCTCTCACTGTCATTTGTGTACTCTGACCTCAACAAATGTATTTTCTGGAGGAATGGTTTAAAATCACTGGCACTGTAAGGTTTTATTTTCCTGACCATGTGTACTGGTTTTGGCTGAGGGGAATTTTCTTCCTGGTGGCTGCTCTGGGATTGTTTTGGATTTGTGCTGAACGCAGGGCTGATAATACTGAGATATTTTTGTTACTGCTGAGCAGGGCTGACACAAAGCCAAGGCCACACCAGTGAGGGGATGAGGGTGCCTGGAAAATTGGGAGGAGTCACAGCCAGGACAGCTGACCCCAAATGACCAAAGGGGGCTGGGAGGAAGAACAACAAAAGGGGGGGATGTTTGGAGTGATGGTGTTTGTCTTCCCAAGTCAGCACTGATGGAACCTTAATTTCCTAAGAATTGCCTTACAGTGCAGTAGAATTACACTGAATATTTTATCTTTTCACTTTTCATCCTGCCAGAACATCAAAAAGCTCCTGAAGATCCCTTACAGCAAGTCCCACGTGAGCATGGCTGTGCATCGCATTGGGAGGACGCTTCTCTTGGACGAGCTGGATATTCAGGAGCTCTTCATGAGATCCTCTCAGGTGAAACCAGTTGGCTTTTGTTAAGTGTGGCATCAAAATGCATTGTTTCAGGAATAAAGTAGCCAGCAAGAAAAGATGTGTGGAAATTCCTGAGGATCCTGTGTGAGTGCCAGAGGTGCTCTGTTCTGCAGCAATCAGTTTAGCCACGAACCACATCTGATGTCCTGTATTTATGGTATTGTGGGATTAAAATACCATGTCTCACTTTCCTGTAATTACTTCAGTATTGCTAAACTATTTGATTAATTCAATTTTTAATATATATTTGTTACTGTGTCACCTCTTATGTTTCTGACTTTTCTAGTGAAGACAGATTTTCAGTAAGAACTTTTCTAGAAGAGAAATTTTCAATAATGATCAATTCGGGACTTCAGCTGTGAAGTTATTTTCTGGGTTTCTTTTCTTGTTTTGGATGGGTATTTGCAAGTTTTTGTTTACTTTGCTTCTTGATCTTAATTTCATATTTCTGATACTGCCTAGACAGGGGACTGGACGTGGCTGAAAGAGTTTTATCAAAGGCTGATTGATCAGAAGTGGCAAAGAAAAAAGAAGAGTAAAGAACATTGGTACCAGAAGGCTATACTTTCTAAATTTTTGTATTACAGGTAACCCTCTGTCTGCATGAATCTTGAATTCTGCACCACTTCCTTTTGCCTCCTTTCTGATCTTGAAGTAAATGTTAAAATTCCATTGTGGTCTCTCTTATTTACTGCCTTAGCCTTATACAGAAGAAATTGAGGGCTGAGATGAGGAAATAACATGTGAATACTTTACCAGAAATTGAAGTGTTTGACTTTAAAATTGAAGTCTTAAAGCATAAAATAAACAGCCTGACTTAATTAACTGCACATCAGCCAGGTCATTTGCTGAGAGCAGTGCGCCAAACACGACTCTGAAATGGGTCTGTTTGCAGATTGTCAGCTGAACTTTTTCAATGTTTCTTTGCCAGCATTAATGGTGATGGAGCTGCTCAGCCTGTTCCTTCCACTTCCAAGCAGCACCAGGAGGGTCCTGTTGCAGGTGAGAGTGATGAAGCAGGAAGGGCCTCCTGGCCAGCCCCTTTTGAAATGCCTTCTTCGTTATCTGAAGATCCAGGTGCCTCCAACCAGGTTGGTGTGTGGAGTGTTTGATGTGGCACCTCAGTGTTTGTAAAGACAGAGATGCTGAAATGTGTTCAGGGGGTGCTGTTTGCTGAAAGAACTGCACCGAGGCAGAACTTGGCAGGAGGTGCAGTTTAGCTTCTGCCAGTGTTTCAGAGCTCCAGATTTCAGAAATGACTTTGTTCTGTCGCTGTAATGGTAAATTGTTATTTATTCCAGCATTTTTGAGAGACAAAGCTAGGACAAGTCATCAATGACCTTATCTAAAAGTAGGGAAAACCCTGATGTTCAAAAGGGGTGTGTGTGGAAGCTTAAGGTTCTGCACTTTCATTTTAAATCTACCATTAAAATCAGTCTTTTGTGGCCTTTAATTTACTAGGGGGAGAGGAAAATGAACATCCATGAAAATGTTTGCAAAACAGTTAAGCAACATTTACAAATACTTGCTATGAGATTACACAAGTGAAAGAGGAGATGTGTATAGTAATTATGCAACAAACTGATTATTATCAGGCCCTGAGTCAGGGCTTCCATCTTATTTATGAAAACTGTTACTTCTTGTGGGGTTTTGAGTAATATAAAGCAGGTACTGATTAAATTTTGGAAAGGTTGAAAGATCTGTTGTATTCATTCTGCATTAACAGAGTAATGATGCTGTAGTTGTGCTTGCACAGTATTACCAACTCAGTGTCCTGCTCAGCCAGCTTAGGGAGTTTCTAACCTTCATTATCCCTAAAAATGTAACTGTGTGTGTTGTGCTGTAGCAACATTCCAAAGTGGAGAAATATTTCAGTACTTGAAAGCTTCTAGAAAAAGGACTACTTCTCTTTTCCAACCTCTTGAGGAGCTATTGCCCAGTCAGCAGACTGTTCATCATAAAGAAGCTGTGGAGCAGCACAGTGTGATTTTCTTTAATTTATAAATAAAACAGCAGGGAAAGAGGTTTTGCTTCTGGAGACTGATAATCTGGTGCTGCCCCTGGGCTAGAAAGGAGTTCCTATAAATACTTTCTGATTTCTTTTCCAGAGCCTCTGAGTGTATAAATCAAGTACAAAACTTTGGTGCTACCTATAGAAAAGAAGCACTCTAGTCACTAACTAGAGGCTTGTGGTAGTTTAATACATACTTTAATTTAAAGATGTGAGAGGTAAAGGTTTCTCCCTTAACATGCTTTTGTTGTTCATATTCTCTTTGAATGGCCTGACTTGACCTCAGCAGCAGAATCACTCCCTAATTATCCATGTGCTTTCCACAGGGAAATGTGCCTCTTGAACCCTCATACATAGTGGGGCACGTGGCCTCAGCCCCCAAAGAACAAAACCTGACTCCTTTGTTCAGTGACGGGGAAAGCGGTCAGGTACGATATCTGTGAGATCTGAACCCCTTCCCAGTCTGAGCATCACACACTTCAAATCTGGTCTAAATTGGAACCCAGAGAGAACCTCAGTCCCCTGTAGAAGTAGCTTTTGTGGCATCTGCACCCTGAGTCTTTTCAGTTCCCGTGAATGCCTAGCCTAGTTCATCACGTGCTGTCTTTTAGTTGCTGCTTTGGCTTCTTGCTGTCTCATAATTCCACAGAATGTCACAGAGACCCAAGTCTGATGCCAGTGATTCACAGACCAAATCTTTTTTTTTTTTTTTTTTTTTTTTCCATAATGAAGGGACTTAAAAATGACTTTGTTCGTAATATCTTGTGGACCTTTGAAGACATCCACATGTTGGTGGGATCAAACATGCCAATATTTGGAGGTGGGAGATACCCTGCTGTGAGCCTGCGTCTCAGGTGAGCTTGGGAGTACAGAAAATAAATAATGATAGCCTTGACTGATTTGTTGCTTTGTTTCCTATTTATCTATCTGTGGTTTTTGTTGTTTTTGTAAAAGAGGGCGGTAATTTCTCCTATTTGAATTTCAATAAGGAAGTTGGGCTCAAGTACTTAAAATATTATTAAAACAGTAAAACTAAATCCCATTAGTAAACATCTTTAATATTTTCTGAGCAGTAAATAAATCCTTTACACTAGAAATATTTGGTTTCAGGGATAACAACAAGCCAATAAATGTGCTAACAGGAATTGACTATTGGTTGGACAACTTAATATGCAACGTCCCAGAGCTTGTGATGTGCTTTCATGTGAATGGAATTGTTCAGGTGAGTCTGGCCCTTTGCATCAGGGGGCAACAGAATAATCTGTAGAATAATCTGTTCTCCAGTTTCTGAAATGGCTTCAGTTGTAGCAGATCTCTCTTTACTGTTCCAAAAAAAAAAAGATTACAAAAATCCTGTGTTGCAGAATGAGAAGCCTCTAGACAGCTTGCAGCAGTCATCTAAAAATAGTGTTCTTTTTTTCCCCCTCCTTTTCATGCGTGCAAGATTTCTTCTTTCCCTGTTGTATGAGCAAAGGCAAAAATAAAAAAAATGTAACAGCAGAAATCTGTTTCTTTTATCTTAAAATCTTGCCAAGACGTCTTCATTTCTCCATTTACCATGTTTGTCACAAAGTGGATCCTTCTGAAAGCTTTAATTGAGTAGTTTAGTCAATATGTGCTTGCTTAAAATCATGAAAGTTAACTGAATTTACCATAATTGTAGCCTTTGTTTCTTTTAGCTGTTGATAGAGACACTGATATATGAATTTTGGGGGTGTAGGTGGCAGAAAACCCTCCTAATCTTGAATTTTAACATACATTCTTTGCAGAAATATGAAATGATCAAGACTGAAGATATTCCCAATTTGGAAAACTCAAATTTTTCTACCAAAGTGATAAAAGATATTGCTCAAAATATCTTGTCTTTCCTGAAATCAAATTGCACCAAAGAAGGGCACACTTACTGGTTGTTTAAAGGTAAGTGGGTTTAGATTAATTTGAAAAGATTTATGGTAAAGTCATATTGATTAATGAAAGATTTTATTTTGCAGCAAGTGGGAGTGATATTGTAAAGCTCTATGACCTCACCACACTTTGTGAAGAGACAGAAGACAAATACCAAAACCCTTTTACAATGCCAGTGGCAATTCTTCTCTACAAGTGAGTTTTTCATAGCTTTTGTTCTAATATTTGGTACTGTATTAAGAATACAGACCAAAAATCACGATCAAATGACAATCACACACATAAACTTCAGTCCTACTAAATCAGAACAGAAATCTCCTTTTCACCATTTCTCCTTTTCAACTTCTTTCCTGAGAAAGTCTTGTAGACCCCTCCTAAAGTCTGGCAGATCTACATTGGCAGTAGAATTGTTTGAAGCTTCTTTTTCTTCTGAGCATAAAGAAATTACCCAGAGATTTTACTCTTTTGTTCAACTTCCTTTTAGAGTTGCTTGCAACATGATGCTGAAGAAAAACCAGAACAAGAAGCACTATGGCACTATCAGAACGTTGCTCCTGAATTGTCTGAAGTTATTGGACAATGGCAGGCACCCTCAAGTAAGAACTCTGTGTTTTCTTGTACTTCTGTGTAAATACAATAGAAATGCTGTCATTGTGATACGCCTGGTAATATTGTGTGTGCTGCTTCCTCCTCCCAGAGGCGAGAATTTAAATTTATTTATCATCTTAAAAATTGATTTTACGTTTAAAGAATTCCCAGGCTATTTTGTCTTTAATTAGTTGCTTTTGCTGGCCCTCATTGTCAATCAGAGAGGTTGTAGTCTCCATCCCAACTGGACAACCTGCTTGGAGCAAGTGGGTGGGGTTAGACAGTGATTTAAGCTGTTTTCAACTGAAAATTAATCCCAAAAATGTGATGTGAAAAACCTGAATTGTAATTAAAATTGATCAGTTAATATGTGCCACCATCTTCTCTTGTAAACTATTAAGAATTTCGTAGATTCCTTCTAAAGCTGTGAGAAGTTCTCAAAAACCCCAGTGGAATCTCTTGAATTTTTTTTTATTGCTTGCATAAGATCCTGGTACTGTCTCCTTTGATGTACAAGCTCTTATAACAGGCAATACTTATTTTTTACCTGTTGATTTTTTATTCCCTTCTAAACTTAATTAGGCTTGGATCCTTTTCTCTCTCAGGGAGTTTTTCAGGCTCTATTTACAGGTTATTAAACACCTGTTTGCATGTACTCTGTCCTCCTTATTCTGACATAACTTATATTGTTCTTATCTCTCAGAACAAAAGTCTACCTAGAAAATGACTAATTTTTTTTCGCTCTTCTTCCAAAAGATCATTGCTTCAGCAAACTACATGTTATCAGAGCTTTTTCAGTTGGATGAACCTAAAAAAGAAGACAGCGCAGACTTCCCCATAAATGGAAATTCTGATGAGAGTTACAGCGAGGAAGAGGAAGAAATGCCAGACAGCGATGAAAACGGTTCCTACAGCACCAGTTCTGACCCCCCAGATGACAATAAAGCAGTGGCAATAATCAAATCTGTTGGAGAGTTGTCAGTGCCAGAAAAGTACAAGTCAGTGCATCGAATACGTGTAAGTGACACTGGGGAGGTTTTAGGGCTTTTCTGGGAAGGTTCAGTTCCTGTGACAAAGCTGGGTAGTGAAATTCTGTTAGTTTTGTCTTCAGGGTAACTGAAGGGGGGAGAAGCAGCTTTTCAAAAATTGAGGTGTTTGAATTTTACATTTCAAGGCAGATTTTCCCCTTCCAAATGTTCTTTAGGGCAAGATTTTGCATATTCCTGTCTCGGCAGTAGAGGAGGAATTGTCAGCCTTGGCCATGTTTGAGGTGACCATGAGTTTGTGTGGATGCCTTGGGTGTCTTAGTAATTTTTTCTGGATCCCCCATTTAATGTTTGATCTTTCCTCCAGAAGCATCAGCTGCTGCATATTCAAAGAGTTAGTCCTTGAATGCCCTCTTTTGTTTGTCTTTCCAAGGTAACTGGTCAGAAGACAGCAATTTTGATTTCCTTGAAGTTTTGGTTATACTTTACTTTAAGTAGAGATGACACTTTACTCTGCACACATGTACATATGGTGTCTAAGGAAACAGCTGGATGCATATTCCTGAAAGTATTCCTGAAACTTCCTTGGGATACATGTGCTTCATAAACCAATAATCAGAATTGTAACACTGCTGCCTTCATTGCACTTCCTGGACATTATTGTAACAAAACAGAGGAACACGAGGATCTGGAAAGATCAGTGAAGAAACTGTTGATAACATTTTACTTCTGATGTGTTACTTGCCTCCCCTAGGTAGAGATGTGATTATGAAATTGCTCTAAATGGTCAAAAGTGAAACCTTTTTTCCAACATCTGAGGAGCAAAATAGATGATTTCCTAAAAATATTTGTAACTGCTATTGCTGTCTTAATTACTAACACTCCAAGGCCCATCAGTTGAAAACATGACAATGCAAAGAAGAGAAATCCTGTGACACTTCTTAGCATAGAGCTCAGGTGTCCCCTTAATGCTTTTTCTTAATGCTGCCTTTCACTTGCATCCTCTGGCCAGTCATTTTGATATTTCCCACAGTGAACACTCATTCTCTTCCTTCCCCAAAGCCCAGCTGTGCGTTCCCAGTCTGCCACGGCACCGAGGAGCGCTGCCGGCTCGTGCTCAACCACGTCCTGGAGGTGAGTTCCCTGTCAGCTTCCCGGTGATGATCCCTCACCCACCACCTGACTCTTGGTCTACTCTGTGTTTGCTAAATATTGCTCTCAGAAATAGTTCCATTCACCTTTCCTTTGGCAGGGCTTGAAGTCTGTCGACAGCAGTGTGAAAAAGGAGGGTGACCTTCCAGCTGCCGACCCCAGCACTCCAATCCCTTTGAAATATGAAGATGAATCCACCAGTGGTGGTCCCGAGTGTCTGGAAAAGCAGATGGCCTTGTTTTTAGACAAAAGTAAGTTGTATTGTTGTGCAAATAAGACCTTTCCAGTGCCAACACGAACTGCTGCTGCTTTATTTTGATTGTCAAAGCAGCGTGCTTAAGTCACTAATTACACGACTGCCTAAGGAAAAGCATACACCTAAAATTGGAGAACAGTCTGTTCCTTTTTAAATATGAAAAGAGCAGCTCATTTGGGATACTTTGCACATCAAAGAATCTTTTATGAGTAAACACGTAATTTTACTGGACCCTGTTAAGATGTGGCTTTCAGGTGACTTCCATAAGGGAATTTGGTATTTTGGGCTTTGGTACGTGGAGCACCTTAATTTCTGTGGGTTGTTTTTAAAATAGTCCTGATTTCTTTGTGTGTGTGTGACTTGAATGTTTTCTGGAAGAACTCCTGCCTTCTGGCAGGTTTTGCTCCTCCATTATGCTTGCTGCTGAATTGCATATAAAACGTGAGCTTGAGTTTTATTTTCGTTCTTTTACCTCTACAGTTGTGAAAGGAAGCAGCAAATAAAAGATGTTTTGTTTTCTTAAATACCCAGACCCCACAGAAGTTTCAGACTGTAGTCTATTTTACTTTTCTCTGGCATGGCATATAAAAGGTTCTAGGAAAGACTTTTCTTCTGGAAGTAGTAGAGTTCTCTGCAGGGCAAGGAGCCCTGTAAGCATAGCTCAGAAAGAAATTTGTCTTACCTATTTTTACAATTCTTTATTCTTTCCCTTCTCCCTTTGAAAATCTCTAAATAATAAGCTGGTTCAGTTTTGAGAGATTATTTTCAGTGCCCTTATGTTTCTCTTCCAGTTTTTTGATTGTCTCTGGGCTGACAGTGACCTGGAGATTTACACACATTTTCTTAGTTATCATCACATACATGACCATAAAATTTAAGGCCTCTATCAGAAAGTTAGGGTTTTTTACCAAGATTTCCTGAGAAGCTTTAGCAAGGTCAGCTCAGCAAAAGCAGTGTGCTGATGGCAGCTCTCCTGCAGCCAGGCTCTGTCTCCTGCCTTCACAACTTGGCACTGATGACACACTGCAGCTCCCTGCCAGCTGGCAAGGAGAGTGCCCACATACTCACTTGTTCAGTTTAGAAACAAGTGCTCTTCCTGGGGGGATGTGGGAGGCAAATATTGCACACAAAAAAAAAAAAAAGGTGATTTGATTCCTGGATCTGTGCTCGAGTTCATCCCTGAAGTAGCAGCACTGCTACTTGTTGTCTTTTGCTTTTCCAGTACATGGGTTGGTTTTCTATGATGGCAGTTATGTAGTTTCTCTGCTTCCATAACTGCTGCAGCATCAAAGAAAAACATCATAATCTTACACAGAGGATCTCTCAAAATGACTATGAGAAAACCACTGGTTTTCCTTGTGGGAAAGACCAGGTTATCCAGTTCCTTCTGTGCTGGAGGCTAAACCCACAAGTGGAGGCTTTGTCACTAAGAGTGAAGCACAACATTTATCTTAAGAAGCGTTTGCAGGATAACAGGACAAGTTCTGCCTGTGGCTTTTTCTTGTTCTGTTCTTCTGCCACCTGAGGGAACAGTGTTGGCCTCTGCACCCCTGTTCCACAAGCTGCTGGAAGGCAGAGGGGAGCTGCCCTGTCCCTGCCTCCCTGTGTTCCTCCTGATAGCAGGAGGAGCACGTGGAAGAGTGCTCCATTTTGCAGATGATGAATGTAGTGGCAGCCAGGCTGCCGTAACTCTGCTGGTGCAGGGCTGTAATCAGGCAATTTCCATTCTGTCTGAGCTGATGAAGTTGTGTCCGGCATCTGGCATGTGTTACAGGGAGATTTACTGATGAGGTTCTGTTCCTGTTGCAGTGGGCTCCTTTCAGAAGGGGAAGCATTCCAGTCAGTCGGGAATGATTCCTGGATCGTGGCAGTACAAAATGAAGCTCCAGCTCATTCTGAAATCATCAAAAGCTTATTATGTGCTGTCTGATGCTGCCATGATCCTGCAGAAATATGGGAGAGCGCTCCGGTACATCAAGCTGGCTTTGCAGTGCCATGGTAAGTTGTTAGAAGGGATTTGTCTCCTGTGCCACTTCCTGTGGACACCTCTCAGAATGCCATAAATTGCTGGGCGTGATTTATCCCCACTGGTGTGCAGTGACGAGTCTGACAGCCTTGTGTTTAGTTAAACTGAGTGTCTGGCTCATTATTCAGGACAGAAGTCTCAGTAAGGATAACTTCAGTCACTGCTTGATGGAAAGATGCTTCCATTTTGACAGGCTGGGAAACTTGAGTGTGGATTTGGAGCTCCAGAGCATCAGAGTTTAGGGGGATTCAGCCCTGGTGCCACAGCCAAGACAGTGTTCTGTGCTCTAAGTGCTATCCCTGCAAGCTGGTGTGTTTTCCCTGGAAATTCCTGGTGGTTCCCATGTCATTTAAAGACATTCTTGGCTCTGAGAAATACCAAACTTCTTCATCAGTGGCATTGGATGCTCCTCTAAAATAAAATACATATTCAAGTATTACTTGAATTTTGAGGAAAAGGAAAGAAGTTAAAATCAGACTGTTCAGGATAATGCTGCCATGATGAGAGGAGCTAATTAGGAAATGCCAGTAGTGTTGCTATTTGGCTTCCATTTTTGTAGGGCTTGGGGCAGGAGGAGCCTTATAAAGCAAAGCCACTTGATCTTAGCACAAATCTGAGATTAGCATTTGTAATCACCAGAGCGCTCTTGTTAAACCATCAGCAAGTATGAGTTTAAAACAGGTTAGTTCTGAGCAGAACCTGTGTTGTCACACTTAGTCTGTGCGTGCAGACAGGTCACATAAAACCCAATTACACTGTCAGTCTGTGTCAAGCCTTGGGACATGTAATTCTTTTCTTCCTCCCTCCCTCATCCATGGATTTTTTTTTTTTTCCAACAGATACCTACTGCTGTCTCTGTGGCAGCATGCTGCCAGAGGTGTTGATGTTCCTGTGCCAGTGTTTAACCCTTTGTGGAGACATCCAGCTCATGCTGGCTCAGAATGCAAACAACAGAGCAGCTTATCTTGAAGAGTATAATTACCAGACTAAAGAAGATCAGGAGATATTGCACAGTCTTCACAGAGAATCCAGGTGCCAAGGTATGATCCTGACACTGCTGCCAGAATTTGGATGTGTGACAGAGATAAGTGATTTTGTTGTGTTTGATCAAAACCATGCACTGGGAGCATTTCTGGCAGAGGGTTGATTGCACTTCTGTTTTCTTCAGAGAAAGCTTATCATGCCTGTCATACACGAGGAGCTTGTCTAGATACTGGATGACAAGCCTGAAGCTGTAAAATTACTAGAGACAGTAAATATTTTAAGCAGTATGTAAATTGTACCAGATTTAAGTTTGTTGGGGAATGCTGTTTGACATTCAGGCTCTGCATTTTGTTTTCCAGTGTTCGCCTGGGCTACGGATTTGTCCACAGACTTGGAATACCAGCTCTCTGTCAGCTGCAAATGCTATGAGGCAGCTTATGAAATCCTACTGTTCAGTAATTTGAAAAAGGAAAACCCAGAGCAGCACATCCAGGTGCTGAAGAGGATGGGCAACATCAGGAATGAGATTGGAGTGTTCTACATGAACCAGGCTGCTGCAGTGCAGACAGAGAGAGTGGGCAAGTGTCCTTTTTCCCATTTCTGACTGTTTCATAGAGCTACAGCAGTGATCAAGTTCATTAATGACATGAAAAACCTCATCTATTTCTGATTGTAAAGATGATACTTAAATAACTTAGTAAATTTTTTAATAGCCATTCTAATTATTTATCTGCAATAGATTACTGAGGCTTGTACACTGTACTTAACTGAGCCTAAACTGAGTAAGGAAATAGACAACTTTGGAGAAATCCCTTTAAAAAAAAATTCCTAGAATGCCCTCAAAAATACATGAGGGAAACTTTAAACTCTGTTGTGAAAGGGGGAGGGCGTGTTGCATTCTTGCTATGTTTGGTTTAGCCCAGCACAAACAAGCAGAAGTTTAAATTAAACATAAGGAAAACTTTATATAATAAAGTCAGCCTGTGAACTTTTTGGTAAGTTAATCCTTGGAAGCTTTTCTTCTGGTTTATTTTTTGGTGGGCTTTTTTGAGGAAAGGCAGTTGCATAAGCTGCTCTGTAGGGTCAGGTGTTCAGTGGGGTTTTGTTTTTGAATGCAAACCCAGTAATATCTTGTCCACAAATAAGAGTTGTATAAACTAGAACAAATTAGGTGCTGGTGGTTCAGTGTAAACAGCTCAAGTTTCCCAAATAGCAGCTGTTTGCTGTGACCTTTGTCCAAGTAATATTTGAATGGTTTGGGGTTGGACTTTCAATTTTGTAATTTGTCATCACCTCTGGGTTTCTGCAGAACTGTTATTTAGCCAAAGTCAGAGCTTAAAATACTGAATTTTACTTGTGTGTTAAGGTCACATTTGATTTGTTTCATGCTTTAAGTTTTTAGTAGTAACTCCAATACCCTGAGTGTTACTGCAACCCAAAATCTGCTTTATCCTGTTGATTTCCAGGTGTTTTTTGTGTAATGTTATTGGAATTCTTTTGGAAATACAGTAGGTGCCCTTCAGGTATTAAACCCTCAAACATATGGAAATCTTAGGAGTATCTTCCATGAATTGGGTCTTCAGAATCGCTTCCCACCCTTAAATTCGAAAAGGTCATTTATGAGAAAGAGAGAACAAGATGGAAATGTTTGTTGAGTGTCTTTCAAGAATGAGTCTCTAAGCCTTGTGCCTTCACCCCAGTGAGTAAAAACGTCTCGACCACGGAGCAGCAGCTTTGGAAGAAAAGCTTCTCGTGCTTTGAAGAAGGAATTCAGAATTTTGAGTCCATTGACGATGCCACCAACGCTGCCCTTCTGCTGTGCAACACAGGAAGGCTGATGAGGATCTGTGCCCAGGCCCACTGTGCAGCTGAAGGGGACTTCAAGAGGGAGTTCTCCCCAGAAGAGGCCCTTTATTACAATAAGGTAACCTCGCCCTGGTTTTAGCGTGGCCCAAACCCTAATATTTCTTTTACTTGTGACTACCTTGGTAAATGTGTATAGGTCTGGATGAAATACCTGTCCTGCTTTCGTACTATCCCAATCCTTGCTGTGCAGGCTTCAGTATTGCTGCTGAGGGTTGATTTCCTTGCTCTGGGGCTGTGACATTCAGGTGTTCAATGTACTGTAGTGCCACACAGAAGGAAGAGAGAATTGCATGATCGGGATTAAAGTTATTACCAAATGGGTGTAAAGAAAATACTGAAGAAGGCCCAGATAGGTGCTCTGAGAATCCCTTGAGGATGAGTAAAGGGAAATTAATTTCTGGTTGTTAGAAATACAGGCAGTAACTTTTTGTATGTGAATGATTTTGTCATCTGCAGGCTATTGACTACTATCTGAAGGCACTAAGGTCGCTGGGTAAGAGAGATGTGCATCCAGCTGTTTGGGATTCTGTCAACTGGGAGCTCTCCACCACCTATTTCACTATGGCAACTCTGCAGCAGGACTATGCTCCCTTATCCAGGAAGGCTCAGGAACAGGTAACAAAGAGCATTCATCACATCTGGGAGAAATGCATTATTGTCCTCCTGAAAAACTGAGCAGGGAGCAAAACTGGTATTGGAATTGTGGAATTACAGAATGGTTTGGGATGGAAAAGACCTTGAAGAGCATCTTGTTCCACTCTCCAGCCACGGGCAGGGACACCTTCCACTAGCCCAGGTTGCTTCAAGCCCTGTCCAACCTGGATACATCCAGGGATGGGGCAGCCACAGCTTCTCTGGGCAACCTGTGCCAGGGCCTGCCCACCCTCACAGGGAACGAACGATTTCTTCCCAGTATCTCATCTAAATCTCTCCTCCTTCAGCTTAAGGCTTTTCCCCCTTGTCCTATCACTACATGGCCTGGTGAAAAGTCCCTCTCCCAGCTTTGTTTTTATATTTGGGCTTTTTTATTTATTTGCTTTGCAGATAGAGAAGGAAGTGAGTGAAGCCATGATGAAGTCCCTGAAGTACTGTGATGTTGATACAGTGTCTGAACGACAGCCCCTGTGCCAGTACAGGGCTGCCACCATCCACCACAGGCTGGCTTCCATGTACCACAGCTGCCTGAGGAACCAGGTACTGGCACACACTGGGTTGCTCTTCTGCATCAGTTCAATCCTTAACACCTCCAGTGTGTGTGGAGGTTGATATTTATCCTTCTACCTGTAGCTGGGATATATTTATTGGAATTATTTAACCAAAGAAATGTGTGGTGTTTCACAACAGTTTGCAAAAACAGCTTTTTAGTGGCTGCATCATGAATATAAAGACTTCATTCACTCTGTGCCCTGCTCTGAGTGCAGGTTGGAGATGAACACCTGAGGAAGCAGCACCGTGTCCTTGCTGATCTTCATTACAGCAAAGCCGTGCGACTCTTCCAGCTCTTGAAGGATGCCCCCTGTGAGTTCCTGCGTGTGCAGCTGGAGAGAGTGGCCTTTGCAGAATTCCAGATGGCCAGTAAGTGTAGCTCTGCCTTAACAGCAGCTTTCCAAACTCCCACTGCCTACTTAGTTTCATTTTTAAATACCTACGTTGTGGATGAGTGCAGGAGTAATCTGCTGCTCAGAATAGAATTTTCCTTGGGAAACAAGGCATTTTTATCTTGCTGGTTTTCAGCTGACTAGGACAGTACGTGCTTTTCTCCTGAGCTCTTGAAATCTCTGGATGGAAGGAAGAGTACAGGCTGTACTACAAAGCTATTTGTCCTTCATTTTTACTTTTTTTTAGGTCAGAACAGCAGTGCTGGGAAATTAAAGACTCTGTTTGGGGCCCTGGATATAATGACCAAAACCAAGGGTGCTTTCCAGCTCATCAGAAAGGAGCTTGTGGCAGAAAGTGAACAGGTAAAGGAACCTCAGGTGGTGTGATACCTGCTCCCTTCTTCTGGCTCTGGCATTCACAAAAAACTGGTCACTTGGCAGTTAAAATATTCCTGGATTGCTTCTCCATAGAGCTGGTTGCTCAAATAGTGTGGACAGAGTTAGAATCTATTGCAGTTCTCTCCTAACCTGGAAGTGGATAATAAAATTCTTCTAGAACATGATCCAGAGATGGAGTAAAACTGACTGGCTGTAAATGGGGTTCTGTGCAACTCTTATTATCCCTTAAAGGGCCCATGTTATCCCTTAAAAGTCTTCTCTAAGAACTTCAGAATGTATGTGCAATAAAAAAGGGAGTTCTATCTCTACAGTGTATTTAATATCTAATTATTAAAATGTAGAGGGCTATCTGCAGCCAGTTCCTGAATAGGTTCCTGATGCCTCCATCAGAATTACTTGCAGTAATTGCTGAGGTGTGTTTATCCCTTCCTGGCAATTTTGGGCAAAGCATGGAGTATTTAAGTCCTTTTTTTCCACATTTGACCACTCAACTCATCTGAGTTTTCTGACTCAATACCTGTGTCTAAACAGTGGGGTTCAGTGAGATGGTTTTTGGTTGTTCCTCTCCCTGTAGATAAGCAAGGACAAAAGTCCTGCTGAGGGTGTGTCACCAAGTGACTCCTCTGTGGGCCTGAACAAGGAAGAAGTCTTGAAACTGCTCAGTATCTTTGAGTCCAGGATGTCCTTCCTTCTCCTCCAGTCCATCAAATTGTTAACTTCAACCAAAAAGAAGATTGGGTAAGTTGAACCTTGGTACCTGTGTGTCAGTGTGATTGCCATCTACAAATCCCTACAAAACACGTGCTCCTAAATTTTAAGGAAGTGTAATATTTATTCTTTTATAGAGATGACCTTTCTGCCTGGAGAAGGAGATGAAATATGCCTTAATTATCTGAATATTGAATGTTTTCTGTGGGTTTGTGTGTAATTGTGGGAATGGCCAAGAAACATCTTTACTGAGTGTGTCGAGGAAGCTTTTTCTCTCCTCTTTCCTCATATCAGTCCAACTCTGAGGACAAAAAAAGTCAGACTTGAATGGCTCTACTCAAATAGGACAACGTTAACTTGTAAATGTGGTCTGAAATGCACAAAACAGGTATCACAGAAGATGGTAAAGCATCAGTGATTCATATCTAACTTAACCTTTAGAGCATATAAATCCTCTCCTAGGTATAAATTCACAGACAAAGCACTTCAAATGATGGGATTTTTCTGCCACACTTCTCATTTTTTATTTTAATCAAACTTTGTCCAGGGAATGAGGTGCAGCGTGTGGTGTCCTTTATCCTGAGATTGGGCTTCATGTGGGACAGAGCACCTGCTGGGTGCTGCTGATCTCTGCATGTGATCATCATCTCTGATGATAAAATGTCAGTGCAGCTTGGCAGCAGAATCCTTGAGGAGAAACGAGGGCACATCAGCAATGCTGGAAATAGAGAGGGAGCAGGAGCTGTTTCTAAAGTTATATAAAAGTTATGAAAATGGGGCGTTACTTTTAGAGGATTCTTTTAGGCTTGGAAGTTCATAGTGTTTGGAATTGAAGTGCTGCTGATGCAGGAGGTGTTTTTGCTAAAAGTAAACTGTGAAATGAATTAATTCTGCTGCTCGTGGGAGAGTGGTAAACAGAAAACATGAGGGGAACACAGCCTGTGTGTGTTCTCAGCTGTGGTTTAGGCAGTGTCAGGTGCTTTCACCTCCTGAAAAAGCTCCCACAAGGTGGCAATCTGAGTATGTGAAACACAGAGGATTGCAGGGTGATTTGTGTGTCGCTGAGCGGATGTCCCAGCTAAATGAGTACATTGGTTTAGTTCTCTGGTCTCGTAATGTGGGCCAAGTGCGGTGAAACAAAAACCTCATTTTTTTGGTTTGTAGGGTTCCCCCCCTCCCCTCCATTTACTTTGTCATCATTGTGTCTTGAGTGGGGTTTTGTACTGAAGGTTCCACACAGGGAACATGTTGGAGCGTTGTGAAATGGGACTGTTAAAATACGTTCAACTTCTTGAAACTCTGAGGCCAAGCTTAAAGCAACCTTTGATTTAACCTTTGTGCTTTTCCTCCCTTCTTGCTTTGCAGCAGATGATGTCTGTTTTTTATGCCTTAATAATGGGCTGGAAAGGGAGGAAATTGGGAGCTCACAGATGCTGCTTCAGGGTCTCAAGTGCAGAGGACAGAGGAGGACACGTGGGAAAATTAATGCTTGATAGCAAAACTTGCAGACTGGCAGTAAAACTGGATGAAATCAGAGTTTTACCCTTTCAAAGGGAAATGCACGAGCAGAACAGGACTTGGCTGTGCAACTCAGAGGGGAAAAGTAATTGAAAGTAATACTTTTTTGTCTGGGAATTCTTGTAACGTATCCCAGAAATACTTTGCATTTCAGTGGCTTTTTATTGACTCCCTGCTCTGTATAATAAATGAACCTGTCTGATTTCTGCCAAGCGGGTGATGAATTTAATTTGCTTCAACGTTTCTCGGTCATTCCTGAAGTTCTTGCAATTAACCTGACTGCTGCCTGGACGTTTTATTTATATTACGTAACATTTATTTATAGTTTCTGCTCCTTCCTGCAGTATAAAGAGCAGGCTCTGACTGCAGTCCTGTGAAATGCCAGGAAATAGGGGGGCTGAGGAAACAGGAGATTCCACAACCCCAGCCATGAGGTTCCACAGGGATACTCATCAGTGTTGTTATTTAATAAGAGTCTTGATAATTTGCAGGGTAACAATGGTGGCCAGGGTAATAATTTTTATTATTTCCTTTCTCTGCAGGGGCATTAATGAAGAAGAAGTGGTTCTGAAGACAAACAAGCAGGTTTATTCCCTGCTCCTGCGGGCGACTGCCAACAAGGGCCTGACCCTGCTGGAACGCACGGATCTCATCCTCAATTTACTGGAGCAGCTGGCTCCCAGTTCTGAGGGCAGCAATGGGGGAATCCAGTGACTGCAGCCCTGCAGAGCAGCAGAACCAGTGCCTTGCTGCATGGGATCACTGGGCTGTGTTCCCGTGGGATACCTGTATTTATTGTGGTGATGTTATCACCGCGTTGTTACATTGGACACTTTTTATCCCAACAAAACTTGTTCAGCTCCCCGGCGTTTCTTTGTTCGAAATGCCCAGTTGGGAGTTGTGGATGTAAATGTTAAACTGTTCTTCACCATGGAGAAATTAATGATTTTTTTTTCTCTTACAGAAATGGGCTTTGCAGTCATACCCATGTTTTGCATAAAAATGTAACCTGACAGCGGCTCTGGTTTGGTATTTAATGAAATATATTTTGTGAGCAAGGCTGCATTGGAACAGTTTAACTGCCCTTGTCAGGCCAGGGAAATTTCTGTGGAATATATGGATGCACTGCTTTATTCCAGTGAGGATCCTGCACGAAAACGTTGTGCCTTTCAAGCTTTGATGTGACTCTTGCAAATTTATGGGCCATCTCTGGGAGTTTGTTTTGGAAAGTGAATGGTTTCAGCTGTGTTAGAATTGATCAAGAATAGTATTATCTTTTTCAGACTTGAAACTGTGAATAAATGAGAGGATATTTTTAAATAAATATTTATTTATTAAATATAAACTCACAAGTCTGTCTTTTCTTGGTTATGACCCTCATCAAAAGATAATTAAAACTACTTGAAAGGCAGAAAAAAATCTGAGTGGGGGCTTAGCATGTGAGGACTCTGGGTTTTTTGAAATACACATTATTTAAATACAAAGTTTGTAAAAATACAACATCTGATGTTCTTCTTAAAATAAATATGCTTCACTATTGCAAAATAACAGCATAAACCACTTTAAATAAAAGGAAGAAAAAGTTTTTACATGTATGCACATGGAACTAGATGAGCTCTTCTTTAAGGTCCCCCTTCCAACCCCAACTATTCCATGATCCTCCTTCTGAGATTCCATTTCATCTCAAGAAATGGAACTGCTTTATAAAGCCAAACACTTGTCTGCAGCTGGACTGATGAACCCACAACCTGAAATGAGTTCAGTTTGCAGGAGCAAATCTGATCTGGGCTCAGATTAACTCGTGTTCCAGGTCCGGAGCATCTCACCTGGCTGGAAACTCAGGTCACATCCTCAGAATTCAGGTAACAGGATTGTAAGGCAAGTGAAGGCTTCTCTGTTATTCCAGGAACCTCAGCACTTTGCTAACAACATAAATGATCATTTTTTTTCAGGAGGATTATAACTGAGTATATTATGATTTATATCTTCTATGAATCCCCTGGCATTAGTGCTAAATAGGATTATTTTTCCCCTTTCACAGATAAACAAAGCATAAACTACATCCAAAACACAACTCTTAACACCATTATTAACTCTGATAAGGCAGTTTATTTCCCTGTTAATAAACCCTCCTTCTTTACAGGAACAGAAACCCAAACCTAATTTTTAAGACCCTGTACTGTGAGGATGTTGAGGGGCAACAGCTGACCTGAATTAGCCCCACAAAGTGCAACTTCACTGCAAGAACTCTCCCATCTCACTGAGAATCTACAGCCATCATTTTCACACAAATATCTGAAAAGCAGAACAAGAAACAGGTTCACAAAAAAAATACTTCACTGAAATGTGGGTTTTTTTTCCTACAAAAGATGACGTGTCTGTAAAACTGATTATACAGAGAAATTAAAGCCTGACCTGTGTGCTGGGAGATACCTGAGGTGATGTGAGGAACTGATGTCAGGGTACAGGTGTTCACAGCTGGTTTCCAAGGATAAAATACTCACATTCACGCGAGGAAAGGGGATTAGTTGGATGTTTTAAGAATTCCTGGGCAGGTTCCATATTTCTTAGATATTTAGGTGCAACCTCCTCACACCAGTCCCTGATTAGAGTGTTGTATATTCCTGAAAAACACTTTTCTTGCACGACACCAGACCTGCATATGGAAACCCCTCCTCCAGCACCGTGTTCACCTTCCCAGGCCCCCCTGGGCTCTCACTTGGGGAAGGAGCAGTTCTGGGGGTGAAGGGCTTTGTGGATCCCAGCAGCGAGATCCTGGGGAGTGGGGCTCCCTGCAGTGCAGCTCACGGGGATCCCTGCAGCTTCCATGGCCTCTGCGGTTGTTGGCCCGATGGCAGCGAACTGGAATGACAACATTTCCAGCTGAAATGCTCAGGCAAAGCATCCCCACTCAGGTGTGTGCCCTTCCACTTCCCCCCTCCCACAAGCTGAGCTCCCTCACCACCACTGACCATTTTCAGCATTAAAAACCACCCCTCAGTCGAGCTACTCAGAAATTACTGAAAGATTAATATTTATCCCATCATTACAAACATTTAAAGCTCTTAGTCCCTCAGAACAGCAAAAGTGAGAGGAATTTTAATCAGCTTCAGCCCAAGTTCAAGCAAGAGCTCCTCACACCTTCAGTAAGGGAAAACAACTTTCCTATCTCTCACTTGCCCACCCCAAACTTATTCCCTCTGGTGTTTCACTATTTTTAACAGAAGGTACCTTGACATGGTTGATCACGTCCCCTGAAAGCTTCTGAATGTGCTGGAGGCAGAATTTGACACCAGATGGGCTGAAGAACACGACGCTTGCAGGGATTCCCTGAGTGAAAGGAAGCAGAGGTTGGCACAGATCCCTCCCTGTTCCAGCAGTGCCTCGTCACAGAAATCCCTTCAGCTGCTTCCATGTGGATGGGAAGGGTTTTTATGGATGAGAAAACTGCAGTGAAGCCAGCAGAAAGGGATTCCTGAGGCACAGCCAGCCTTGCCAAAGCCCATCCTGCCACGGAATGCTGAAATTCAGGAGTGATTGCAACCAAATACTTTGTCACAAGTTCCCCAAGTTCTCCCTGCCCTGAGATCCTCTGGCAAAGACCAGGTGATGCCTCAGAACTGCATGGACAGAACACATGGAAGGGCTGGCACTCCCAGAATAAACTGAATTAGGATTGCAGCAGGAACCTGCTGCAGCCAAATAAAAGTGCTAAATTCTGCCTGCAGTGAAGGTGGGTCCCAAGCTCAGCTGACAGGATGGTCTGTAAGGCTCCACTCAACCCAAACCATTCCACGATTCTATAATTCTATGAGGCTCCTACACGTGGAAAATTCAGAAATCCAATACTGAGAAAATTTAAAGCCATTACTATTTTTACAATGCACCCACTGCTCCTGAATGACCTTTAATAGATGATCTTAAAAAGCGAAAACCACTAATAATTCTAGCAAACACATCTCAATACACCTTCCAACAGCATGTCAGTTGGAATTCTAACACTTATAATGAGATCAGTAAAGCATCCATAGACTGGATAATCAGAGAAGGAACACAAACCATGCAGGGCAGGTTACTACTGGAATTCTGGTTTGTGATATGGAGCACAGGGGTATTTCAGTTCACCACTAAAAGAAGAATATTGTCACATGCCTCAAAAAAACCCTCCAACTCCATCAGTGTCCAGTACCTGCTGTGAGAAGTAGCTGCTCAAAGATTCCTGCAGGTCAGGGTGCTGGGTAGTTTGATAAACAGTCAGGCTCTCCAGAGGTATGCCTGCAACCAGGACACACAGCCACGGTTAAACAGGGTTTCTTTAATTTCTATTATCTCAGTTAAACACTCACAACTTACTAATTGCCCTTAAGCGTATTATTTTAGGCTAAAAAGACAGATAAAAATTCTCCTGAAGGATTTGTTTGACCCAGAGCTGTGGGCAGCCCTCCACCCCTCCCAGTGTTTACTCCCATCCTCCAACTTGCAGCCAACTTAACAGCAAGTTCCATTTTCACTTATTATTATTCAAATTTGGCACAGGAGCTTTAGAGGCAACTTTTCTCATCCCTGACTAATTAGAAGGAGTCTCTGGGGGAAGCTCAACCTTTCTCTCTGAGCACTGTAGGAAGAACTTCTCTTTTCAGGGCTCCACAAGGGAAGAGGAGAGCTGAGGAATTCGGTTTCTCTCCTGTGAACACACAAACAAAAACTTTAATTAGCTCAGGCCTTTAATAAAAGAGTAAATAAGGTACATTGGATACATTTTAAAGGTATCAAATGCTGATTTATCAAATGCTTCACCACAGACACAGCTCAAAACATCTGCAGTGGAGCTGCATCCCAAATTCAGAGGACAGAGGCTACTTAGCATGTACATTAAAAATATTCCATAGCTGGAATAGGAATACTTTGCCTAAAAAGATCTCCCCAAAGATAAACTGCATTTCTATTCCCCCTGTCATTCTACAAAGGAATTTATCTCCTCCTCCTCCTCCTCCTCCTCAGCACAATCTGCCTCAATTTTATATTTAAAATCTCAGTCCCACTCAATATATGACAGATCTCTCTCTATAAAAGAATATTCAGGCAGACAAAGAAGAGGGCAGAACGTTTTTTTTTCTGCTGAAAAGTTTCAATCATCTATCTGCAATTCTACTTTACTTCCCCAAGGATAAAAAGGGTTCTGGTTCCACTGGCTGGGATGGAAGGGAATATCCTCCCTGGCTTTTTGTCAAATTAGCAATTTGACAGCAGACTTTTACCCAGTTTGCCTTCTCTGTAAATAACAAAATCAGAGAAAATATCAAGGTGAAATTCCACACAGCTGCTCCAGCTTTGCATTCAGCTTGCAAAAGAAATGGGAGCACTAATTCAGATTTTTTAATACATGTTTAAGATACCATCACCAGTAAGAGAAATGCTTTTAATTGCTGGAAGGAGATTCTTGGTTTATGGAGCACCAGAGATTCCTCAGGGATAAAAAATAAAGGGCAGCACAGGAAAAATCAAATGGAAAGACCCTCAGAGGGGTCACCACAGATACACCTCACTGTCCTGCCTCCACACTGGATTTTTATTATAAATTATAGGATGGAAGGATAAACTTGGCTCAGAATGCAAAAAAAGGTTTCAAAATAAGATGAAATCTTATTTTTCTGCGTCAGTTCTCCTGCAGCTCCTGTCAGTTAACTGAAATGTCAATATGACACCTGCAAAGAACCACAAATCCTTTGGGACTTGCGTTTTACAAAGGA